ATGTGATTCTCATTTCTTGTTCAGAATTATATTAGAAGCGTAAAACCTGCAAAATTATCCTGTTGCTGCCAGGATAAAAATCTTTATTAAGGACATCTGTGAACCTTAAGGTAGACTTTTATTCTAGTGTCTATAGGAAATGCAAATGCTTGCCTTTCTTTTGAACTCCTCTCTCTTTAAGGGTAGATTTTAATTCTTCTGCCATGTCTCCAATATCTGTACAATATATTACACAATTTATTTTTAGCATGATCAATGTACTAAAATAAAAATAGAAGAATTAATTAATTTATACCTTTCAAGGCCAGCAAGACAATACCACTTATTAGTACTGGATTACTTCAAGAACTGCCTTCTGTCTGCCGAAACAGCGAAAGTTACTAATTTGAGTTTAATTCCAGTTTTGCACACTCTTAAATCTCCACAAAAAATTACCAAGTTTCATTCACATGCACATGAGCCCTGGGAAAATGAGCGTTCCTTCTTCCCCACCCACACCCTTTGAAGGAACACTCCCTGTGAATTGATAGGAAAGAGCATTTTACAAAAGAAAACAAATAGCGAAATCGTACAAAAATGTTTTCAAGATACAAGTAAAATAACTATTATGGTACAAGGCAAATTCATTTGATGGAAGCTGGCAAGTGATGTGCTGTGAAAGACTTTAAATCTTAATGCCCATGTCAAAACTTGCACAGTGACACTTCTGCTCTCAAATTTAAACTGTAAAAGGGTGAAACCATCTTACAGTCATTAATTTTCAATGTACCTTTCTTCTACTTTTGAAATACTTGAAGGTTTACTATATAGTCTAGACAGGTATGGAATTTATCAGTTCCGAACTGATGAGGTTGTAGCTAATAATGTCAATTTCTGAAACCTCAAATGGCAATTCCAAATTGTTAAAGTAGTGCATGATAACGTTACCTATAATTACTCAGTAGAATATGTAATACGAGTCTCACCGTCTTTAACATAAAAAATATCATCCTTCAAAGACATGTGGCTATTGGTTCTAACAAGTACACATACCTCCATTCTACACTTTTCTAACCAGGATGCAGAAGATTACATCCAAGCTCGAACTCTACAGGAGTCTTCTGCTCAGCAGTATGTATTATGCCAACCAAAAAAATCACACAAAAAAATTATGCCTGTTAAAAAAAAATAATATCGCCAGACCATAAGGACAGAGATCTGGGGAACTTCTATAGTCACTCCTGAAAAACAGTAAAGCTCAAAGTTCAGAAGCAGGTAAGATACAATAATAAAGTCATGTTTTCCATTAAGAATCACTCACATTGGACATCAGGAAAAGGTTATTCACTGAGAGGGTGGTCAGTCACTGGACCAGGCTCCCCAGGGAAGTGGTCACAGCACCAAGCCTGTCAAGACTTCAAGGAACATCTGGATGACGCTCTTAGTCATACAGTTTAGTTTTAGGTAGTCCTGTGAGGAGTAGAGAGTTGGACTCAATGATCATTATGGGTCCCTTCCAACTTGAGATATTCTATGATATCTTAATCGGAGTGTTGCATGTAATAGACTAGAAAAACTGCCAGTTCATTTTGTCATGAAAATGGGCAAGTGTTTATTTAATTGACCTCCATTATCTCTCAGGTAGCCATGTCTTCCAGGTTTAAAGACCAAAACCAACACTAAAACCAGAAATTTGATCCATCTTCTATTTACAAGTGAGATGTTCCTTACTAGTAGGTAATAAACATCTCATTGAGCTATACATTATGGGTTTTTTTTTAAATACCATTCGTCAATAGAAATATGAAACGATAAAATAATCATTTAAACATTTTATGACCCTGAGCTCAAGTCCCAAGAGTGAAAAAAATTTGACATTATTAGTGTTCTTGAGTGCCTCACTGCAAGCTGCATGTTGTTTTATCATATTCTCAAAGGCACATTACCTACATACTCTGCAAGTAATAATCAAACCAAAAAGTGTCAACGCAACACACCACTATCTTTGCACGAATAGAAGCAGCCCTGCACAACAGCCTCTCTCTCAAACTCCTAAAAAATGGTACTTGACCCCACTGATGGTCACACCATTGGTCATTATAACGCAAAGAAATAGGCAACAAATTAAATACGTTACAAAAATACTAATCTTTTCAGCCCAGTGGTAAACTTGGTCTGTCGCTTACTTGGCTAAAACTGACAAAAACTGTCAAAGGGAAGCACTATCTTTTAAACTGCATATCCTGAGCTCTACCTCCTCCCCTCTTCAATAAATTAAAAATAGCTATTACATGCTCAAGAGACACAACAGGGCAAAGACAAAAACATCAAGGTGGACTGCACTGGTGAGATATGAACTAATTTCTCAGTGATAAAAGCCTACATTCAGCCTAAAGGACTCCCGAGAAGTCCATAATTCAAGATTTGGTTGGCAATACAAGGTGGGAGACAGTAACTTTTGATGTGCACAGCAATACAAATTAGGCCATCTAAGAAGTATCTGAGCTGTGTAAATAGGAGTGTCAATAATTCAGGCAGGCATGACAATACAAAACAAATAATCACCACACCTTTATCCAGCAAGATACGTTAGTCTGAGATAATACACTGAACAAACAAGCTCGCACAGCTAATGCCTTTAGTAAGGATAAGGCACCGTCTGGTAGACTAGCAGTTTAAACTTCTCCAGAAAAGATACTGTCCTTTAAACTGCTTAGAACAGTCTTACAATGCTGACCTCCCAACCGTGTGTTAATTCTGTTGTATTTCCCCCCTTAAAAATGCAACGTTAAAAATTCAGTAAAACTTTGCCTTAGGCCATAGGATGTTTTTGGGGTTTGGAGGCTTTTTGAGGGGGGAAGGTGGGAGGGGGAGGAGAATTTCATCCCACTTTCCAGAAACATTCAAACCAAACCCAAAGTTGGTATAATTTGTCTTTGCTCTTCCTGAAGGAAGCACTTCAGCAACACAAACCAACCCCTTAACTTACTAAATACAGTAAAGCCGATACAAAAAATTACACTTCGTTTGTCAACATAAGCAGAAGGTAGTAAAACACACTTGAATACATTCCTTAGTGTTGCTGAAACTCTGTAGAAGGTGTGCATAGCAATGCAAATTTATGCAGAAGTGAGAAGCCACAGCAAATCTCAACCTTGAATTTCCTGCCTTTTGTAATGCTCATTTTCCTTTTCTTGCTGAAATATATGTACTTTATAAGATATCACACTGCAACACTTTTAGACCAGTATGTCAGCTTTCGGTATGTTTGTCCCAGATAATGAGGAGAATCTGTTGACATCATGTCATATTATGACAGTTAAGTGGGTTAGATAGTTTAATCTTCTTCCACAGAAAGGAAGTTCATAAGTCTCAGAAGGAAAAATACAAGGTGTATCACTGCTATTAACTAAATAATAGAAAAAACTGCCCCAGATTTTAGAATTCTGAATAGCAGCCTAATACTGTATATTTATTGAGAAGAAAATCATTTTGCAAAACTGGAATACAATTGATTTACCAAGAATTTTTTAGCATTTAAAAATCATTTAATAACAGGCCTGACCATAAAATAGTGGCACAACAGAAATGTAGGTTGCAAATGTGACGTGGAATGCATAGAACCTCCGGGGCGGACCAGCCACAGTAAATACAACAGTCATAATCATGAGTGTAAATTCACTTTCATAACTGGCTTTTTCTTCTAGAAGGTAAGAGGGTGTATATAAATATTATAGAGAAAACATTTTTAAAAACCCATTGGTTTATTTTTCAGAAATGCTGGAAGGGGTTTCAGCTCAGTCAAAAATGAGTAGGTTTGTTGGGCCAAAATTGCCCTTTCTGGTTCCTAAAGTTTCCTCTACTTGTTATGAAAAAACCAACATCAATGGTTAGGTGGTAGAAAATGGTGAAAAACATAAACTAAGGAGCTAATTCTCAACAGAGGACATGGTGTTTCAAAACACAGTGCTTAACAGCATTAACCTTGAGGAAGAACGCTAGGAAGAATTTCCACCATTTCTGCTATCTTGAAAAAAAATCAATCCCATTAGCCACAAAACCCCAGTTCATTACCAAGCAGAATAGAAGTCTGACATCTGCCTATGAGGATCTCTGGATGTATAGTTTGGTGGGATTTAAAAAGCAGCACAGAAGAGCAGGAATTTTAAGGAAAAGAGGACTTACAGTAGATTGCCTTGGGCCTCTGTCTTCATTGAAGGTGGCAACAAGTTCCTAGATTGCATAATGCTGCTATATTTAGTTTTAGTTGAAAAGAAATACAAACCTGAAAAAATAACAGCTACTCACTGGTTAAAACAGATACATTTGGCATTCCAGCCCACCATCCCTGCGCTAAACTTGTCATTTCCCCCTCATTGCCTCCCAGGATTATGAAACAGTGACATGCCTACAATTCAAAGTTTCCTATTCTACAACTGTAAAACTTAGATTTGCCAAAAGTCTGACTACAACCCCTAGAAATCATCCCATAATTTTATGCACATTACATTTACGGGATAGAGCTTCACATGGTACATACAGTGCTATCAGTATTTTCTTAACAATGCAACTGAAACACCATTATCTCATTCAAACTTCTCTTCTCAGTCTTACAATCAGCCAGTCAGAAACACCACATTTATGATCTCACTTAATTCCCCTCTCCTAACAACTCCAGGAATTCCAAAAAGCAATCTGAAGAGCAGCATTTGATATGATCCCCAACTTAAAATCATACCATGAAAAGCCACTGAAACCGGCTCTCCTACATAAAGAGAAAAGATGCTTGGCTGACTTGAGATACTTGGATTTCCTCTCTGCTGTCTGATTCTCATTCTGTTGTGACTCTCTATTCCCAAACTAGCAGGTCCCTATGTGTAAGGGGCTCCCCCTTTCTAACCCATCTCATACCTCATTCCAACTGAACTAAAGAAAACCTGTGGAGCAGGAATACGGTATGCCAATGTCCTTGTCCAAAAAGCTTAAGGGAAACGGAAGGGGGGGGGGGGAAAATCCCTACTAAAATAAATTACATAAAGTTCTGAAATCAACATCACTTTTGAGGCAACCTTTCCAGAGACCTCTTGGGTTCCTTTCTTCTCTGAAGCACCTTTTAAGTTGTATGGTTGTAAGAATAATTTTCACTATAGAAGCTATATGCATCTTTTAAGAATCACATTTTGATGATTATAAAAATTTATCTATTATACAACATAGGTCCAGCTACACTGAAAAAATTACACCGCTTATTGAAATACATTTCATTTTAGAAACAGACTACTAAATAGGTCTATACAAAAAACTCTAAAATAATTTCTGTAGTAAAATAAAGAGTGTGTTAGGAGAGCTACACAAACAAATTTTTTGTCTTTCTTTATAATGCTCAAATATACTGTGATACGTGGCTGGCTCACTCCATAGCCGGCACCAAAAGCGGAAAAGAATCCATTACGATACACAGTGATACAATTAATGCTCTGTATTAATCTCACAGCCTTTCCGATTAGTACAAAGAAAACCAGGCCTATCTCCTCTTTGAGCAGAAGTCCAGGATATAAAAGCAAGCATACCTCATCAGCTGATATGAAATTATAAAATTCCACAAGTCTCAGTATCTGAAATTTATAAAAGTCACCAGTAAAATGCAAGCAAATTGGGTTTAAGTCCTGTTGGTTCCCACGTTCAAATGAGCACTGCTGATCCAAACCAGGATTTCCTTGTTTGTTAACTGATTCAAGGGAAAAATTAGGACCATCTGCTGGGGTTAAGAGAAAGACAAAGATCCTCACCAACTAACCCTCTGTACTTCCATGAGGGCATGTTTCCATGTGCATAAAATGGGAAAATAGCTGGCCGGAAGCAAAGATGTTAGTGGTGCTGTGCTGAACTGTTTTTTTCTGCCAGGTGCCGCAGAAAGTTGTCCTCACTCTGGCCTCTGTGATTTAAAGGCTCACTCTTAAAAAGAGCTGGAGGAGGGGGTAAATGAGGAACCGGGGGGACCGGGAGATGATGTGGATGGTGAGGATGAGGATGTAAGTGAAGGTGTGAATATGGGTGGGGAATGGGGCGTGGAGGAAGTGTGCTCACTGGGTTCAGGTTGATAGGTGGAGTTGGGGTGGTTGGTGTGTTCACTATAGCAGGGACTGTGGTGGCAGAAGTCGTGGACAGTGGGATCTGGACAGCAGCTGACACATTGACAGGGCTGGTAACACGGAAGCACTTCTCCTTGTGCGCCTTGAGCATGTTGGAGAAGCGAAATCGCTGGCCACACACGTCACATGGGTAGGGCTTCTCCCCTGTGTGAGTTCTGCGATGTCTCTTCATGTTTGGGCGGCTGGTGAAGCTCTTCCCACAAATTTCACAGATAAAGGGCTTCTCTCCTGCCAAACACAGATACACCCATCAGTTAAGCACAGAATATCTGCTAATACTTACTTCAGCATACTTACGCACACAAACTGCATCCTACAAAAGCTACTACGACTGCTACCTTCAGCAAATAGAGACAGCTGTTTCACAGAAGTCCTCAGTTTTTATGAAATCCTCTCTCACCTTTGGATTTTGATGCATGAGACAATCTTTGATAAGGCTTTGGCAAGGGGTTCCTTCTGACCAAAATAACAAGGAAGTAAGCCTAACCACTCATTTTCCCCCACAGCAAATCACAGGACTACAGACAGTTAGATTTAACAGTAAGGTAATGTATTAACCTTTCCTGTCTAATTTTCTAGGTTGGATAACAGTTTTAATCCCAAATTCCAAGAAAGGGAATACAGCTGGAAGTATAGGAAAGCTTTTGTCCTGGAGGTATACTTGTGCTTTTCTTTGATAAGTTCTTACCAGTGTGTGTTTTCATGTGCTCATCGAAGTACTGTTTCATGTTGAAGTCTTTGCCACACCACTGGCACATGAACTGTTTGTGCCCAATGTGGATGCTCATGTGGGAACGCAGTTGGTACTTGTACTGAAACCTCTCATCACAGTTCTGCAACAGAAAAAGAGCAACCCATGATATTCAGGCACCATATGCATTAAGAAGCAAGGCAGTCATGGGACAGCACTCAAATGTACTATGTGAAGGAGTAAATAGTACCTGAACTAGTACACACAGAGACCCTCACACAAACACAGAATTTAAATTATTTAGTGAGAGTAGAATTTGGTCTGTACTAAAAGGTCTGCTGACACAAGAGCCTTGGCAGAGAGCGTGGAACAATCACAACCTTTAGTTGACACAGCTGTTGGCAAAAGCCCGGCAGAGACACGGTTATGCCAATAGAAAAGTGCTTCTGTTGGCTTAAGGTATCATTTGGAGGTTTTGCAGCTTTGCCAGCGATCTCTGCTGGACTACAGCATGTCTCCACTAGAGGACTCTGCTCACACAGCAAAACCAACAGCGGCTCTACAGCAGGCTTGTTTTTCAGCAAGCCAGCCTGTTCTCCAGCTATTATTTATTGGTATGAGGTAATTTCTTTCCCTACGACAAGACTACTCTGGCTGCACTACCGCCATTACTACTACTTACTACCATGTGTCTGGCTGGAATTGTGCCCCAGTTCATGGACAGGGTGAGCCACCAGACCTGCTCTGGAAACAGGAAGGACTCTGCACCCCCTCTGCCTCCATCATGTGATACCCACAAGCATCCCCATCAGATGACTGACACATTATCTGCCCCAGACATAAGACTGGGTAAGTCTGTCCATTACGGTCTCCTTCCCGAGGGCAGGCATAAAATTACAATCACAAATGCACATGAACGCATCAGTGAGATACTCTCCCCCATCCCAACACACACACAACTTGGTTTAAGAAATGCAAATTCAGAGCACTGTCTTAGATCTCAAGGAGGTAATAGTTTGCAGCGAGGACAATAGTTTTTCCCACAAGTGAAAAGCAAGCAGTAATTTGTTTATTTTCACTGTCGCCAGTTCTATCTGTTTCAAGTTACTGGGCAGGACAGGGAGGATTAATGTAATTTGCATTGGGCTTTGCTATGATCACCGAGGGAAAACTAGGATTCAAATCCTGCTGTAGTGTGTACTCATTGAGAAAAACACGACAGCCAGCAGTAAAAGCAAACCAAATACATCTCAGTTTGAACTACTGCTAGATGCACTCCTGCTGTGCTCTCCACATGGAGAAGAATTTTCCCCAAATTTTTATGAAACTGCACCTCATTTACAAGTCAGTCAATTCACTTTCCACCTACATTCCCTGCTGACAGTGTTACTAATTTTATACCTTATGCTACCATGTCTAAACATATTAACAGTGGCTGCCTCACCTCACATCTGAAAGGCTTCTCTCCAGAATGCTGTAGGGAATGTACTTTGAGAGACATACTGCGTTTGAATGATTTTCCACAGGTTTCACATGTAAATGGCATGTCCTTTGTGTGTGCTGCAACACAACAGTACATTAGAGATGGTCATTCAAATGCAAACAGTTCTTTAACCAATTTTTTCCTCCAACTCCAAGCAGGAAAATGATTACTGCTGAACCGCTTGTAAGTATATACACATATGTACACACATATGTATTTTGCTTACTGCCCGGTACTACAGACTTGAACTTTTTGCTAAGGATAAAACTCAGACAACTGAATTTGCCTTATTATTTTTCTCCTCAAAACAGCAATTACGAGTTAAGAACCACAGAGACACGTTATGAGGCAGAACCAACAGAAGCACCAATCAATAACTCACCAACCATATGTTTCCGCACATGGGCCATGGTGTAGAACTTTTTTTCACAAATCTCACAGGAGAATTTCTTTTCTGCATATCCATGGATAATCTTGATATGTTCATGGAGGGACCAGAGCTTCTTAAATGATTTATTACAGGAAACGCACTGAATGAATGGGATAAATAGAAGGAAGTTTAAATTAGAAAGATTCAGTGATTCAAGTTTGTGGAGTTAAGCCACGTTATCTTCCTCTTGCATGACAAAAAGAAGCCCAAAACAAATCAATATGCTGTATATTGTCTCAGACTGTACTTCAGCTTACATTTACTGTTTCACATTTGAAACAATTACACTAAGAAAAGCCAGATCAAGCAGGATTAGAGAGGATGTTAACCCGCTGCATTTTGGTGCCACCTGAAGAGCACCACAGCCACTGCACTAACTTATTTCCAAAACACAACAGCATATATGGCTGGATGCAGCCCTTGAGGAGCGAGCACAGAGAAGATAACTTCACAGGCACTGATGCTGCTGGTGTGGGAAGAATCCAAACCCCTGGTGTGGGAAGAAGCCAACAGAGGTGGAGGAGGCCAACACCAACAAGTTGCCTTAAACCCATCTGCACATCCAGCCCTGGCTTTCACAGGAGTGCTGTGACCCCTCGAACTCCAGGTCTAACTGAGCCCGTGAACTAGCCAAAGCTCTCTCCTTTTAGCTCTATACAGAAGACAGGTTCCATCTTGCAGCTCTTGACCATGTGGTGAATTTGGTACTCAGCTCATACAGCAAAGCAAGTTGTCAGTTCCGTCTTTCATGTTCTGACTCTCCATTTATATCAGTAGCACTGTAGGTCTACAATGACAATATGCAAACAATGTTTTAATCTGTTCCCACAACTACTGTGAAATGTCCAGAAAGTCAGCGATGAGCAGGATCCTGAGGCTTTCACGCATCTCTTTTTTCCCCCAATAGTTCTTGCTAAAGACTTGATAAAAAAAATCCGTGTACAATTTTGAAAATTCCAGAATAACCTTAGTTGTAAAACTTGATAGCAGACACATATGTGAGGATACCAAGCCATTTTCATCTTTGAAGTGAAGAGGAAGGAATTGTGGCTTGTTATTTTTTGTTAGCTGTTGGGGTGTTCAGGGTTTTTGGTACATTTCCATTTTTCTGCCTATCAATTACCCTCCTTCCCTCAAAGTAAGAAGGGCTGTATGCTGTTCACTGCCGAACTAGCAAATACTATGCCTTCTGCCAGCTTGAGTTGTTTCTTCTCTGCACAGACAAGTTATGCTGCTTTCACAGTGCTTGAATCTCTGCAGGCTTGGAAACTCTGGTACACCGCTCACCATGCCGACTCCAAGGAGAGCCTCTGCCTCCAAAAGTACCTACTTGGAGGCATGTGAAGAACGAACTGTAGCCCTCAGGGGGGACAAAAAGAGTAAAGCAATGCTAAGAAATGATCAAAAATCCTTTGTTTTAAGGTTAAGCGAGCCCTTGAAGCAGTCAGTCTACAATTTAATTGACGATCAGCAGCAAGTAATTTAGAACACTAATATTGAGAGCTACTACACAGAGAGTCTAAGGTGACAACAGAAATTCTGTGAAGGTGCTAATTTTGAAAGGATGAAAAACAGAAATTACGTGGAAAAACAGATACATTTCATCACGTAGATGAAAAATATAGAGGAGCCAGCCATGTTTATCAGTTCAATTACCGCTTACATAATGAAACAATTTTTTTTCCTAGACAAAGCTCCATATCCCCCTTGACATATTAAACCCTACATTAATGTAAAACTTTCATATCCCTTTACTCCTTTTGCCAAGTGTAATAAAAACAAATTAGGAGGCAGCTGCGGAACACATTCCAAATGTCAGGACAGACAAAAATAATTGTTGAATATATGCTTATACTGAGAACTTGAAGATGACTAGCGGTGCTTCTGGCACTATCTGGGGAATATTTGGGGAAGTTTCTGGACCTGATTCTTCTAGTACTGGATATAAACCACAATTTCTACAATTTCTTCTTTTCCTATCACTTTTGGACAGAGGAATGTAACCCCTCAGAAGCATGTGTGTGCATGGATTACAGGATACTTCTCCATTCTATACCACACATTCAAACTATTAATGAATTCCTGTTTCAAGTCAAAAGATTTTATGCTGTGAATGAGCCACCTGGATGACAGGGCATTCCTTACAGTTACACTTAAATGTTCCTTGTTACATTAAACTTTTGAAGTATTTATTTAAAAAACTGCAACTACATACTGAAATGTTTATGTATTTTACTAACTATGCTCAAAACTCATTATCTTATATTCCTTCCTTCAGTCTTCCTCCTATGAGCTGAAACATAAGGAAAAATAACAGCGTTATACAGAGCTGCATTTGAATCTTACAGCAAAGAGAAATTCCAATAAATATTTCAACTGTCTCCCACACAGTGGGGATTGAATACCAATTCAGTTTAGCATTTAAGCAAACAAACAAACAAACAAACTCTTAAATCTTTCTGGTAAAACTCATTGGACAGACAAAAAACTTGTTGCCCTACAAACTCTCAACATTTCAGCTGCACAAAAACTGAACTCAAGCTGCTTCATACAGGCAGCGGGATTATTTCAGAAGTAGGTGGCAACACTGTGCCTAGTTTAACAAGGCAAAAAAAAGCACGTTCTAATCGCCAGATAAAACAACAGTGCCCCCAGTTACATGAGAACATAGATGCCTATGAGCAAAGTACAAACCGCAGATGAATCAAACTCTGAAACTCTTTCCACAACTTAAACTTTAAAATGGTTCTATTACAACACAGCCTTCCATTGTTGTATAAAATTAAAAGCTGCAAATCTTCTGGTGAGAAAGACCAGAGATCTTTAGATTATCAGTGAGATTTACTGAACTTTTTACACTGGGAAAAGGGCAGGCTCATGAACAGATTTAGTCCCTGAATTCGTACACTTTCATAGGCATACATGAACACTACTGTATATTGCCTGTATATAATTATAGGATTTTTAAAAAAGCTACATTTTAACACAAGTTCAAATCCTGACTTCACTAGTTTCTCTCTCACCTGCTTGCCTCTCTGGTATTTTAAAAATTTCTGATTCCCATACTAGCAAAGTGCCATAATTCCATTCTCCCCTGAAACCTTACCTGGACATACTCTGTGACTGAGTTTCAGGACACTGAAACACTTTGAACTTTAAAGCTAGCGAGAGCTGCAGGTGCTCAGCACCTGAAGAAGGAGGGTTTATCCTGTCAAAGTACTTCACTGCAAATGCACTTGTTTTCAGGCCAGTTACTCTTGAGTCTGACATTTGTTAAAGTAGCTTTGCGTTTTCCCCAGCTCGTAGTTAAATACTAGAGTAACTCTGCTAAAGCAGATGTCAGTTGTACACTCTGTTCCCTGCAATTTACTTCTTTTGGAAGACACCAAAGTGTTGATATGTAGAGACAAGGTCTCGGTCAGAACCTGGTCTGTGCAAAAGATTTCCCCCTCTGAAGTGTCCACTAGCTGTATCCAGGGCACGACAGAAGGTATGGAAATCTGGCAAGCAGGTGAGCAAACCTACCTGGATATTTTTTTCACAGTCTGTTTGCTGGTGAAGGGACAGCTCACTTTCTAGAACAAATTTCTTCCCACATTTGTCGCAGATCTGCATGCGCCTGTGAGTGACGTTCATGTGCTTCTCCAGGTACCAGCGTGTGTTAAACACCCTGGGGCACTTCTCACAGGTTAAAGTCTCCTTCTCTTCACACTTTGATTTCTGCACAGGTGCCTTGGGCTCCTTTGCAGCTTTCTTCTTACGCTTGGGGGGCTCCACACTCTTTCTACGACCCCTTGTAGTTCTGGGTGATGGGGAAGTTGTGGCTGCTGCAGCAGATGCAGCTCTCCTTGTTCTCCTTTGTGCAACACTACCTTTTTCCACTCTTTTCTCTTTTTTCTTCTGCCTCTCATTTTCCTCATAATCATTACTGTCTTCAGTGGCCTCTTCCCCACTGTCACCCTCCTCTTCCTCACTGCTGGTCTTAAGAACAGCAGTCTCTTTGGACTGGGAGGGGACACCCTTCTCCCCTTTTGATACATTTAATGTTTGGTTGTTAAGGTTTACCTCTACTATAATCTGCTCCCTTTTGTAAGTCACTTCATCTTCCTCCTCTTCTTCCTCCTCAGAGTCGTCAGAGTTTTCTCTATCTTCTTTCACAGCCCGGACCTCTCCTACCGATCTGTTCTCCCTGAAATATGGCTGCTCCTCTCTTTCATGGAGATGTGGTTTACTCATTTTGCTGTCCACCAACACAGAGTAAGGACTTCCTGACTCTCTCTTGTATACTTTGGTGGACAGATCAAGTTCCTGGCTGGCACCATGATAAAACGTGGGTGGTACTTGACCACGGCGACTGTCCTCTTGCGCCATCCCTGCATGCGTGGCACAGTTTTCAACCAACTGTTGGCAAGAATTGGCTGTTTGACTCATTTGGGGGGCCCTAATTCATTGAGCACCTTTAATCCCAGAAAACCAAGTAAGCAGCTTTGAATCAGGATGGATTCTCAAGATCGATGCCTGTTCCATCTACACAGAATGAACAAAATATGATTCTCTGCCGGTGTTTAGCACTGATGTGTAGGTCACAGAATTCTGGTATTATGGCAAGAGCAGAGCAGTAGTAATTATTCTTCTGGAGAAAGTTGCCAATGAACCGTTGAACATTTTATCTATAAAAGACAACAGAGAAAACAAAATAAATTAAAAAAAAATCACTAAAATAATCAGCAAATTCTTTTGTTTTGAGTTTGTACAACTGGAGTAAAGCACAGGGTATATTATCAGAGCTGCATCTGCTGGGGGTGGACTGTCCTATAGCACTGTCTCAAGACAAACTGGCAGTTAAGTACAAATACATGCACCTTTTGTGGGGATCAGAACTGGTACTAGACTCATCAAGGCAATGAATATTCTCCACCTGCCAAAGATCACCGCCACCTGCCTCAACGCTGGGCCAAGATGCTGACCTGCGTTTCTCCTGGACTCTCGGGATCACTGATGGCCCCGAAACTCTGCTCTACTCCCATATGCCTCTCCATCAAACAAGGTGCATACCTCCCCAGAAATACCTCTTCTCCTTCTGTATCTCCCAAAAGGAGCCCATCCTTACCCAGAAAGAGGACATATTATACTGAACAACGTTCCATTAACGTAGATATGCATGAAGAATTTCAATGGAGACATTTTCAACTTGCAGCACTAAATCAGATTAAGAACACCATGTCCCCTGCTTGTTTCCACGTCAGAGATCCCTCATACAGCCTCTTGATTTAAGGCACTTATTCTTTTGTCTCATTCTCCCTTCCCCCAACTACTTATTCCTTAATGCAGTAGCCAAACAATATTACATTTGCTCATCTAAATTTCACTTGCAGTTATTCAAGTTGGAATTTGACCGGGACACTGTTACTTCCTCTTGCAAAAAAAAAAGCCACGTGATCCCTAATGAATACAAGTAATCAGTCTCTCGCATCTATTTTTCACCAGGACAATTAGATTTTGGTAGCACTGTATTGCAACATCAAGCCAAGATTTTTGGCTGTGCAGATCAAATCAGAAACACATTGGAACTCCTGACCAAACAGCATACACAGAGCTAAACCTGTGACTAGAGGGTGCAGAAGAAGAGAATTAAGGACAGAGCCTAAGAGACATCCCATGACTAGAGGACAGACAAGGGCCCTAACAGAAAATGGATGGATCGAGCAGCTAAATATGAAGAAAACTGGATCCCCACTATCAGAATCTGAACATATCCTTGAGGCTATAAGCTTAGGCTAAGTCCAGCAGACAGGTATAAAACACTTGGATTTCGCAGAATCATATGGCCATTTTTATTAGTAGTATTCTTGAAGCAACAATAAAAACCAACCAACCTAAAGCAGTATTACAGACATGAATTTTTATAATAAATTTCCTTCCACACCATACTGAGTTAAAATACCCTCCACACTACAAATGTGGTAACTTCCATCCAAACATGTTTTCATATGATTTGTATGTTACAGTTTCTATTTTACTCTTCCACCAGAAATTTCCCCCTTTGAAGTGAATTTAATTGAACAGGAGATGAACGTACCAATGGTCTCAGTGGTTTGAATAATAAAGAAGACTGAACTGTTGCCCACAATCTTTGTGAAGTGACATGCTGGGGAAAGTGACAGACCAATAACCAGTTGTCCGATTACCAGCTTAAAAGCAGATTCTTAAACAGTACTCCAGTATTTCCAAATGCACTCAAAAAGCACCCTGAATACGCCTGACAGAGTGACCTGCAGACAGACTCACAGCACCGCAACACCAGGGTTTATTCCTGCTGCTGGATACTTGCTCCATGCTCAGCAGGGTCTCAGGTTCCAGCTTCCCAGCTCCAGAGGTGAGGCAGGAAGACGAGCACCAAGACCCAGCTGGAACAGGAAATACGTGGAGACGGGTTGTTAACACTGGCTTGTGATCACAACTAATATTCAGATGGAAAAGCTAGTAAATAATAAAATAAACTGGTTGTGATTGCAAGCCAAAATTAACAAGCCTATACCGAGGAAGGCCCTGAGAAAGCAGTGGGCACGATGAAATCCAGTTTAGCTTTTCCTTTAACAAATTGTAATAAATTATTCAGAAGCTCAGAAAAATCACTATGTCACGTAGAAAATGATACCCAATTATTTCCTCAGCCTATTAAGCATCTCTCGCAAGCTGCACAAGTAAATCAGGAAGGCTACCAGAATGCTGCTGCTAGATCACCAGAAAAAGCAAAAAACTTGTCATGAAAGGGAAGCTTTACTTCCACCCCCCATTTACTGAATGTCACAATATTCTCTTCACATATCCTGCCACCATTTCACCTCTGCTCATTTAAGGAATATTTAATAAACCACTTTGTATGAACAGAGTACCACTTCAAATAAAAACAACAAAGGGGCTTATTCCGAGTTATCAAAGCTATTTGGTTTTAAAACCACTTCACTCTGCAGAATCAGTAACCTACTTTCACTTTGAATACACCGCCTGCTACCCTCAAGGGACCTGCAACTTTCAAACAACATTATTTAACAGTCAAACAGCTGGTAAAGCAAAGCCCTCTTTATACATTTAATACCATCAACATACTTCATAGACTACTGACAGTTCTGAGAGACAGTAGTTTAAATACTGCCCAAAATATTATAATGGAAGATTTTTTCCCTTAAGTTTCTAATCCCAAATGTAAGAAAGCAGCATTTGGGTGTTTTTATTTTTGCTGCCCCACCCCCCTTTTTTTAAAGGTGAATCCACTTTTTTTCAAAGCTGCTAAACAGCTTGGGCTCACAGAATGAATTTCAGCCATAATACAAAAAGGGAGAAATACAGGTTCAGATTAAAATGTAAAAAGGATACACAATTTCAAAGCAATTTTTGAAGAAGCCTATCTAGACATAAAACTGAGGAATAACTGTATTACAAGCATAGAGTGACTCTATGAGGTGCATGCAACGCTTGCAATCAAAGACCATACAAGAAAGGTTTGCAAGCCTATGAATGTTAAAGGCTCAAACCCAGGAAAAAGTACAAAAAACTTGAAGACAAATGCGTAGGTGGAGGAAGCATGTGTATGTGGGAGCAACACTTCATACAATGCTTTCGCTACTAGTAAAGAAAAACCGCATTTCTTCACATTATCTGTACTAAAAATAGAACAATTTATAGCAGAGAGCACAGGCACAATTACCTGCCCCAACTTTGGCTCAACAGATGCCTTGAAATCAGCACAGACCAAGCGCAATATACTCAGAGGTTAATGACTTTAAATTACATGTCCTTAGTTTGCCCTCAGAGAGGGACCAGCTTGACAGCCTGGCTATCTCATATTTTCGTCTAACCTGTGCCAAGGACATACAATTTGACTTCTGGCAAGCATCCGCCAGAAGCAGACACTGATGTAAAGAAACACAGCTTCTTCCAGCTTTTGTAGTAAGTCAAGTGGTTGCACAGTCATCTCTGCCTATCAAGGCTCCCTGTGAGCTACTGACCCCTGCATGGCCTACAGCTGTTTGCCTGCTATCACAAACAGGCTGCCAGCTCCACAGATGTACACTTAACTGCTCATTCTTTCTGCCTGCATGTTTCTGGTGGCTCCCATAACGGCAGAAGAGGCACTTCGGGGCACTCCACAACCAGCGATGACCCTGCCACTCCTGGTCAATGTGACAGTGGCCTAATTTTTTTTATTTTTTACCAGTTTAATCACTGCCCATAGAAAAGTTATCAATATTAGCTCTGAAAATTGACAGACGCTGGTCTTATTCACTTTGCTGTAGGTTGGCAAGTCTAGAAGCATTGCAGGCACAAGGGTGATTTGTCTACTGACACAAAGATGGCACTGTATTGATTTATTACTTAGTTAACATCTGGAAGTTCCCCCCACTCTTCCCAGATAGCCATAAGGACCAGAAAATGCCTTTAAAAAAATACCTGTGCCTCAATTCACAAATCAGTGGCATTTGCTTGTGTAAGTTTTAAGAGCTTGGGGCTTTCCCGCAGCTCACCTACTTCTTGCATGAAAAGTGAATACTATGAAAGAAGAGATTGCGATAGTCAATGTCCCACATTAAAAATGCATTAATTTATTAGCCATCCATTATTTTCTTGCTTTGTTATAAGACAGCCTTTCAAGACAGGCACCGAATATAAGTTTTTGTTTCTGTTTACTAGCCACTTGTACTAGACTTCACTTCCAACTTGGTACAGTAAGAAGTGTTCTCAACCTTAATATAGCTCACAAGACACCAAGACAAAATTATTTCTCCAGAAGTATACGGCACCTAACACATGGGGGAACCTGAGCCACAGCTAACGCTGCGGCACTGAAATACCATGCACCGTAACAAGCATCACAAATTATTTGCACACTTCCTTTACAACACAAGACCTGTAACATCACACAAGACAACCCCCCAAACTTCTTTTTCTTCCCCTCTTCAGTTTAGAAGCAGACAGATCTCAGTTTAACAGCAGCTTTTAGATGGATACAATCAAGAGGCATTGTGGGGAATTAACAGGTTTTCCACTCTACCATTTAGAAGTTTGATCATCTTGAAATTTGACGTTTTCTTTTCCATAAAACAAGACTTCTCTCAGACTACAGTTAGAAAAAGTTAAGAAAAAAATAACTGGTAATAATTAAAGGCAATGCCATTTTACATATACATTAACAATCTGAAGTTTTTAAGGATCCTGGACGCCTTTCTGTTGGAAGCTACAATCCAGCAGCTCCATTAAGTCCTGGGGCAACCAGATTTGCACTCAGTTTACAAGTGGTGAAACAACCATGTGCATAAATAAATAATTTACATTATTTAAGATAATGGGCCAATTTCAAACTAGTCAAGTAGTTGTTGAAGAAACTATACTCAGAACAGGAGTAAGACAGTGGTTGCTGGTTGGGGGGATTAATTAAACACAGTTCCAACATTATGCCAAACCTGGGGCACATTACAGTCTGGCTGCCACCCAAATTTCTAACCAAAACTGGAGCACCAGCTTCCCCGCTTCATTTCTACTCATCAGGTAGAAATTTCTAGTACAGCTAAAACCTATGTGAATTCAGAATGCTAGCGTAGCTCAACCCTTTCTAAAAGGCAGTACCATTTTAAGTTAAATGCTTTCACACTTACTAGTCACATTATTTGGA